GAGATAGATATGTCTTACCATGTTATGGAAATATCCATCTATGCATATTTATTGAGTGATGTTTGTTTTGTTAAAAAACAGACTGGCTATTAAATTTTGTCAAATGCCTTTTTAGCACCTGTGTATATAATCATATGCTTTTTTCTCCTTAGATCTGTTAATATAATGAAGTATATTACTAGATTTTCTAATATTGAATCATTTGCACTCCTAGAATAAACCCCACTAGTTATGCATTGTTATTTAATGTACTGCTGGATCTTGTTTTGCTAATATGTTCTCCTTAGTTTATGAAAACAATTTGGAAGTTTTCATTTTTCCCCTATACTTTGGAACTGTTTAAGTAGAAATAGAATTATCAGTCTTAAATGTTTGAGTCTGGTGTTTGTTTGTTTGTAGGGGATAACAAACTATTTTGATCTTCTGTCTCTCCTGATTTGGGCTTTAGCAAATGCTTTTCTTACGAGAAAATTATCCATTTTATTCAAATTTTCAAATGTGTTTGCATAGATTTGAGCAAAGTAGTCTTATAATTCTTTACAACCCCCCTGTTTCCAACGAGCTTTCCCTGATAATGTCTTAGTTATCCATCCTGATTCATTTGTTTCATTGGAGTCTTCTGTAGGAATAATGTCCTCAAACAGGTCCCTGGGTGATATATTCTTCTCTGGAATTCTTCTCTGGAAAGAAGTGGTATTTTTGTGGGGAATGGGACTCTTGAGTCTCTGAGTTGCTGTCCTTTTGCCTTTACTCTAGATGTTCTGAATTGTTATTCTATAATCCTTTCCCTTCAGAAATCTGAGAGTTTTTCCTGTGAAAATACCTTGTACTTTGTGTCTGGAAGATTGTAAAATTATTCTTTTACCCTTGGAGTTCAGGAGTGATATCACGGTTACATAATATAATGAGCCCTTCAATATGCAAAACAGTTTATTAAATTCAGGGAAATTTGTATTTTCTCTTTGTGTATTATGGCTCCTCTTCTTCTGTCAAGAATGCCCACTATTCATATGTTAGCTCTCCTAGATGAGTCTTTCAAAGCGCTTATGCTTTCCAAATTTCTATAATTTTGTTCAAACTGTCTTCCAGTCCACTAACCTGGCCTCATCAGTGGCCATCTTCTTTTCAATTTATCTAACACTCTTTTTAAATTGAAAAGTATGGGTTTTAGTACAAGGAAGTAAGGAAGTTTTTGTGCTCTCATCAGATATCCTTATATGTTCCCAAATTGTGAATAAAGATGGGAAATGAAAAGTTCAAACTATCATCTGCTTCCTCCACCAGTTCTTCTCACGAGGAGCCATCTATTCTGGATCTTATGCTTGTTTTCCTTCTGTAGGATGACTGGGTTTTCTTATAAATATCGTTGTGTTTCTCTTGCATATCCCTTGGGATTTGGACCCAGCTGCCCGAGCACCGTAAACGGAAACAGTGTTCTAGCTAGATGAAAGCCATGGTGGGCTCCAGGCAAGCTGTCATTCCCCTACTGATGCACCAGGAGGCAGTCTCTCTCTCTCTCTTCCTCTCTCTCCCCACTTTTTAAACTCTCCTACATCTTATTAAAGGACTGTGAAAACAGCAGTTCCTCCACAGAGTCACACAAGGGGCAGCAGCCTTCATTTACTAGTCCCCCCGAATCCGTGCACCCAGCTTTCTTCCTTAATCTCACTGTTCTAACCCCATCCAAGTACCCCATGCCAGTAGTCCCCCAGTTCTCTCCTGTCCCTGAGGGGAAAAACATCCCATGACATCATTGGCTACTAGATCCAGACAGAGCTGAGACCTCACATTCCCCAGATCCCACTTCATGCTGGGCTTAGAAGTTCATAGTTGAATCGGAAGTGGAAGGAAGGGCATCAGGGTTGAGTTTAAGCTGTCGTGTTGCCACTAGCCATTTGCCCTCAGAGAGGAGGTTCTTATTCTAGAACACTTAAATGGGTTCCAGGGGAAGCCATGATTCTCTGAAATTACCGTCAAATTGTATTTATTTATCTATACATATGTATTATATGTATGTTTTTCTGTAGAGTTCTTTCAGAAGTTTTTTTAAGAATATCTTTTAAAGCAGTTTTATGTTCACAGCAAAATTGAGGGGAAGGTACAGAGATTTCCCATATACTCCCTGCCGCCACACATGAATAGCCTCCCGTGTTACCAACATCCTCCACCAAAGTGGTGCATTTGTTACAATTGATGAAATGATGTGGACACATCATTATCACCCAGAGTCCATAATTTACTTTCAGGTTCACTCTTAGTGTTGTCCATTCTGTGGGTTTAGACAAATGCATAATGACATTTGTCTCCCACTGTAGTAACATACGGAGTATTTTCATTGCTCTCTAAGGATCTGTGTTCCGTACATTCATCCCTCTGCACCCCCAACCCCTGGCAACCACTGATCTTACCGTCTCCATAGTTTTGCCTTTTCCAGAATGTCACATAGTTGAATCATGCAGTATGTGGCCTTCTCACATTGACTTCTTTCACCTAATAATATGCATTTAAGTTTCTTCCATGTTTTTTCGTGGCTTGATAGCTCATTTCCTTTTAACACTGAGAAATATACCAGTACCTATGTGTACGACAGTATCAAAGGACCAAAGGACATCTTGGTTGCTCCCAAGTTTTGGCAATTATGAATAAAGCTACTGTAAACATCTGTGTACAGGTTTTTGTGTAGACACAAGTTTTCAATTACTTTGGCTAAAAACCAAGGAGCAAGATTGCTAGGTCATATGATTAGAGTGTGTTTAGTTTTGTAAGAAACTACCAGAATCTCTTCCAAAGTGGCTGTTCCATTTCGCATTTCCACCGGCAATGAATGAGAGTTCTTGCTGCTCCACATCCTCTCCAGCATTTGGTGATGTCAGTGTTCCAGATTTTGACGATTCTAATAGGTGTACAGTAGCATCACATTATTGTGTTTTGTTTTTTTTGTTTTTTTTTTTTGCGGTACGCGGGCCTCTCACTGTTTTGGTCTCTCCCGTTGCGGAGCACAGGCTCCGGACGCGCAGACTCAGCGGCCATAGCTCACGGGCCCCGCCGCTCCGCGGCATGTGGGATCCTCCCGGACCGGGGCACGAACCCGTGTCCCCTGCATTGGCAGGCGGACTCTCAACCACTGCGCCACCAGGGAAGCCCACATTATTGTTTTAATTTGCGTTTCACTAACAGCATGTCATGTGGAGCATCTTTTCATATGCTTTTTTGCGATCTGTATATCTCCTTTGGTGAGATGTCTGTTAAGAGGTCTTCGGCCCATTTTTAATCAGGTTTTTTGTTTTCTTACTGTCAAGGTTTAAGATCTCCTTGTATATTTTGGATAACAGTCCTTTATCAGATGTGTCTTTTGTATATATTTTCACCCAATCTGTGGCTTGTCTTCTCATTCTCTTGAGTTCAGAAGGTTTTATCAGATTCTCAAAGAGATGTTAAGAATCAGTCTTACAGAGCCATACCTAAATTTGGTGGAAATCCCCAACACGCCAATTAGTTCCATGTAGATTGCTCTAAGTCCAGTGGGTATCGAGGGTCTCACAGCCTCTCGGACACCAAAGATTATATCTAAAAGTAAATATCTTCCACTTCTATGCTCTACTTTGGTCATTGTAAAATAGGTTACTGAATATGAAAGATTACCCTTTGAAGAAAGGGCAGGTTCTTGAACTAGAAGAAGATGGTTTTAAGAGAAATAAAATAAAACAAATTGAAACATATTATAGTAAATAATAACCTGTATAGAGTGGCAAAAGTAACAAATACAAGACAGTTGTGAGTGCAATGAGTTCAGGGATAAGAATTCAAAAAAGAGCTTTTTGAAGAGAAGCTAGAAGTGTTTAAAACAGTAAAGTAAAGATAATTTTATTTCCCCTCAAAATAAAAATGAAGAAGACCTTAAATTTTCTTTCAGCGATATGTTGATGGTGATTCTTTGGCACTTGGCATTCAACTTCTAAATCTTAAATATATTACTCTTTATCTCTTGAGAAAATGTTTCTGGCTTAATCAAAAGTTAGTAGGCAAAATATGTACTACAGTATATGGTTACTTTTGAAACATAAGCCCTAGTAATTCTAATGGAAAAGGATTTGATGCTTTTTTATTTGAGGTCAATAAAAATAGAAAATAACCTTAGAAAGATCTTTTTTTGTCTCTAGCAGATAGAAAGATACAAATATAAAGCCTTCTATATGTTTCAAATGATTTTTAGATTTTTTAATATATTAATACATTTTTTTAATGCAAGCTACTCTGATGTATGACCATAACCCAAGCAGACCCATGGCAACTGGGAGCAGAACTGGAAGGGGGAATAGATTTCAAGATAGATCCTTCTACCACAATCTACAATCCTCTACACATTTGCCTTAAATTACTTAAACCTCACTAACATAAGTATTAAGGTATAACAATATGATCAAAAATTCACATATTTACTAAAATTTTCACCTATATATTAGCTATAATCAAAGGCTATAAAGAGAAGCTTACCTAATTGAAAAATGTATACTCTTCTTTGAATATCTTGATCATTTAATGGGTCTGTACTAATTTGATCTTTTATTATACTCCATCCCTTTATCCTTTCTGTTCCCCTTTTAACAAATATGTGCTCAGTTATTATACTTGTTGTTGTTAAATAACACACAGTCAAAATCTATGCCCAGGCACCTAGAATTCAGGCATCCCTCAATCTAACCGAAGAGTGCCCCTTAGTGGACACAATGAGAATAAATATGCAGCGGTGATATGAGATATCACTGAATGATCACAGAGGTTATGTTCAGTAAAGCCAAGTATATCCATCTTCTCAAGGCAGCCACAACCAGCCTGTCAGAAACAGCACTCAACATGAAACCTCTTATGTTATCCCAATTTAAAGCAAAATCATCTTATCATCAATTGCTGGGAAATTTCTCTCCAAATCCCCAACTGTCTTCAAAATGAATTTCTAGGCCAACTGAATTCTGTTTAACTCTGCTGTTTCCTGGTTTCAGATGGCTACACCACGGATGACATTGAGTTTTACTGGAATGGAGGAGAAGGAGCAGTAACAGGAGTGAATAAAATTGAGCTTCCTCAGTTTTCAATTGTTGACTATAAGATGGTGTCCAAGAAGGTGGAGTTCACAACAGGTGAGGATGTTTCCCCCAAAATGAACTAGCGATGATGAGAAAGGAGATGGCTCCCACCAAATGACCATCTGATTTTCTTTTCTTTTCTTTTCTTTTTTTTCACTCAGGGGCATATCCACGACTGTCACTAAGTTTTCGTCTAAAGAGAAACATTGGTTACTTCATTTTGCAAACCTACATGCCTTCCACACTGATTACAATTCTGTCCTGGGTGTCGTTTTGGATCAACTATGATGCCTCTGCAGCCAGAGTCGCACTAGGTAATGCATTCCCAGCACTACAGAGAGCTGATGGTATTTAATGTCAAACAACAACCAATGAGAAGAATTACAGGCCAGGGTGTCTCTCACAGAGAGCCAGAGAATGAGATTACCATAAGAGTGCTGGATAATAAAACATCTATGTGTAAGCACTTACAGGGGTGAATGTTTTACAACGTAATATCTTTTTATCATTTTACCAAAATAAAACACAAATCTTGGAGTACATTCAACACTATATAAATGCTTCTTAGTGCTTCTTTTAAAATTCTCATTACACTAATATTTTACTAACTTTGTGATTTCTTCTTTGGTTCCTTCTCTTTACAGTGGAGAACATTATTGCATTATTCTCAAATGGATTTGGAGAAAGCTAAACCTTGTGACCATTAACAAGCCATGTCAATATTATCTTTCAAATATTAACTATAGTTAAATTGTATTGCTCTGTCTCCCTTAAATAGAGCTCCTTCTACTTGAATAAGACACAGACAATTCATCAGCTATATTAATGATCTGTGATCAGGACAGAATAAAAAATGGTTTCCTTCCCAGCAAAACAGAATTCAGAACTAATCTTGCCATGGTTGAGTAATTGCTGTACGCTAAAAGGCTATATTTGAGATTTTAAAGGATTCCTTGGAAAGTTAGAATATGTAAGGTCTGTCTGATGTATCTGGGTATGTGTGGGTCTACCTCGTATTTGACCCTAGAGCCATTTCAATTATCACTTTCTGGGGTTTATTTACAGACACACACACACACACACACACACACACACACACACACACACACACACACATATGCAAAAGAACATCATTTATTACTAAGCTAACATATACAGCTCTTCTCTTCTGAGACTATGGAACTGGATTAGATGATCAGCATACCCTTTCACCCCTAGACTAATTGTCAACTCTACAGCTCATCTCTATTGGTTGAGTATATAAGGCTCACAAAGTCAAGTGTGGGCAGCCCCTTATCAACCTTTGAACATTACAAGACTAAGGAAAGTAGACAAATAATTTATCATATCATACACATGTATCTGCACATATTATTTGAATATGTGTATACGCTATGGTTAAAGAAAAAACATCGGACAGTGTCTACAGTAGGGAATATGAACTATCAAGGTCATGAATTGTGGTTCTCTTTACACACCTATCCTCAAAGCTAATAATATTTTGATTAGAGGTGTCAGCCTATGCAGATGCTGAATAAACCTGTTCTTTGAAATGTAAAACCTAAGGTATTTAAAACCTTATCTAAGTGAAAAAGACATTTATTTACTAGCCCTTCTTGCTTAAAAAATTTAAGCCAAGGAGTAGAAGCAGTAGTGGAATTAGTAGATTTTAATGAATTATTGCTTCTGTACAGAACATTAGGTAGAATTATATTAGGGGAAATTTAAAATTTTATTCAAAGAAATAAATAGCACCACTCATGATGGCATTTAATATCAGTCCGGACATTTAAATTTATCACTGATCTAAACTATTTTAACCTTTTGTATGGTAGTTCAGACTTCCTACTTTATCTGTTCTCCTCAAGTTTAGTAGTCAAATCAGGGACTCTAAATAGAATAATCTGGCTGGCAAATGAGTGCTAAACTATTTTCTTCCCTTTTCACTTTCTAACTTCCATTCCCTTTGCCAGTTCTCCTTTGTCTTTAATATCCATTGCACATTTCCTATCTTTATTTTTAAGGACCTCCATCAAGTTTCACGTTTTACTTTTTCATCTCTCTGCTTTTATTTTAAATACCTTTGCTTCATACCTCCTTGCTTTTTGCCCCTAGCTGGGTGATCTACAGCAAAATAACTAATCTCAGAGTTTCTGTTTACTCAGCTATAAACTGGGAATTATATACCTGCCTTATCACACTCAGCAGGCTGTTATGACAGCCATATAATTCATAGCTGTAAGTGTTTAAAACTTCAAAAACACTATACAAATGTGTAATATTAGTATTACAGCAGACTTTAGTATTAGATATAAGTATCACTTCCTATTTTTCCCAGTTATCATTTAATCACCATAATCAACACAAAATATTATACAGACACACAAACATTATATTGTTAAGAATGCCATATTTAACAAAGTAGAATCTTTTAACATAATGCCATATTTAACAAAGCAGAATCTTCCTTTTAAAAAGACTACACTCTTAAATTTCTTTAACAAGTTGAATTTTTAGGAAGTCTTTTCCTGACTCCGGGGCACTAATTCATTCTAGTCTCTGGAATCAAGGAACTAGAGGTAATATTTGAAAAAGAAAAAAAAAAGCAATAAGATTATGTTATATTTTAAAATACATATATCAAATACTTGATGCAAGTCATGAACTTTCTTATTTGTTTCGTCTTTTCATGTTGACTCACTATGAATGATGCATTATAATTTTAAAAGACCATACTGACCCTGTGACCTGTGTGTATTACAGTTGCATGCAATGAAATAGGTCTCCTCAAACCGGTCACCAACTTTCAGTTCGGTAGTGACTGCTGTGGTGATTAGTATTACAAGGACAGATTTAGGAGGGACGTGACAGAGACGCTGAGAGAAGGAAGGAGAGAAGGAGGTGGCACGTAGCAGAAGGAGGGACATTTGACAGTAAGCAGTGGGCATGTCAATGAGATTTTAATATTTGCATCTACTTTTCTTTTTCCTTTGTGCATTATTTTTTTAAAAAAACAGTTTTCAACCCAACACTCACAGCGCATCCCATTTTATGATTTACTTATGGACTACGTAGGGAGCCTGCAGCTTTGTCTTTCAAATTGTCTGCCCTTTTTGCCCTGTGGTTTATTGCATTACTGCCATCATTCTGGAGCACCAACAAGAGATCGGCATCTGTCCTCTCAGTCTTGAAAAGGGAACTTAACAAGTGCGTTCAGCTGAGCTGTGTCTTTCTGTTTCATAGGAATCACCACAGTGCTGACAATGACAACCATCAGCACTCACCTCAGGGAGACCCTGCCAAAGATCCCCTATGTCAAAGCAATTGATATTTACCTGATGGGTTGCTTTGTGTTCGTGTTCCTGGCTTTGCTGGAATATGCCTTTGTAAATTACATCTTCTTTGGAAAAGGCCCTCAGAAAAAAGGAGCTGGCAAACAAGACCAGAGCGCTAATGAGAAGAACAAACTGGAGATGAATAAAGTCCAGGTAATATATTAAATATTCTCAACAATCTTCTTCTGAAATTCAGCAGCAGCATCGTGCCCAGGGCTCTCATAACAGAAAAAAATTATGAAATACTAGTTTATCTTTAATAAGGCTCCAACCACCCTTCATTTCACATATTTGAAAACTGACAATTGAAGATGTTAGGTTGAAGTTTACGTAGCTTAATAACATACCTGAGCCTGCAACTCAACCCTAAGTCCATTATTCTTTATTTTAAATTATATAGTTGTGAAACTATACACAAAAGAATAATTCCAGACCTACTTAATAAATAAATGAGAGAACTAAAGTGAACAAACTCTTACTCCTAAGTGGCAATGAGGCGTTATAGCACGGTGGTTACAACCACAGAATGGAATCAAACTGCTTGGATTTAATTCCCAGGTCTGCCACTTACTGGCTTTAGAACTTCAGGCAAATCAACCTGTGTAACTCCTTATCTAACCTCTGCTCTCAGTGTCATCAACCATAAAATGGAGATTACTATAGTATACCTATCTCTCAGTGATCATAAGGACTAAATGAGTTTTGTTACTTCTTTTAAAGTCTATTATTTGGAACAATACCTAGTACATAGTAAGAACTCAATAAGTATTAGCTATTATCATATACAAGACATTGTCAGTATTTTTCCTTTGCTTTTCACTGGTAGATCTTATGACCTGTGTTCTCACTGTGCATTAAAATAATGCTTTGTTTATTCTTTTTAAAAATCCCTATAGTCTCTACTTCTGTGGCATTTTTCACTGAAATCATTTGACAATTATGTGCGTTGAAATACTGGATCCAAGACAAATTGTTTTCAAGATGGTACACAGGGTAACGACTCAAATATTCATTCACGATTCTGAGCATTGGGGGTACTGCTCTGAATGATGGAGTTTAGATGCTAACGTGGGAAGACAGGCAGTAAACAAGCGAGTATCGAGAGCATAATTTCAGGTAATAGGAAGTGCTACAAAGAAAGTAAAACCGAGTAATGGGCAAGAGAATGTGTGGGGTCAGGTTCAAGGGAACAGGGAACTTTGATCAGGTGATCAGGAAGACCTCTTTGAGGAATTACCATTTGATCTGACACCTAAGTGATGGAAGCAGCAACCATGCCATGTCCATTCTAGGCAAAGAATTGTGTGGCGTGTTAAAGTACTGAGAGAAGACCAATGCAGCAAGAACATAGGAAGTGAGGGAGAAAGAGAATAATTTGAGTTGTGGCTGGAGAATCAGGCAGAAGTCAAATAATGAATCTTCAAGGTGTTTCTTCATGCTCTTTAGTAGGATATCAAAATTTGGGAAACACTGTCGGGTAATTAGAAAATTACAAATGAGGAAAACATACAGATTCAACCAAATGGGCAAAATTCAAAGCAACACACTCAAATAAATTTATACTCTTGTATAAAACACTATGCTTAATGCCATGGGAAAGGAGTAGGCATGATACTTGCCCTTGAGAAACTTCTGATCTGGCTGGAAAGAAAATTATGAATGGATTATAAAATAAGACAGGACAGCATTTATCTTGAAGAAAGGTTGAAGCTTCCTATTATCTGATCGTAGCCATACCAGCTTTAAAAGTACTTTGAGGGGGCTTCCCTGGTGGCGCAGTGGTTGAGAGTCCGCCTGCCAGTGCAGGGGACACGGGTTCGTGCCCCGGTCCTGGAAGATCCCACATGCCGCAGAGCGGCTGGGCCCGTGAGCCATGGCCGCTGGAGCCTGCGCATCCGGAGCCTGTGCTCAGCAACGGGAGAGGCCACAACAGTGAGAGGCCCGCGTACCACACAAAAAAAAACAAAAACAAAACAAAACAAAAAAAAAAACCAGCTTAAAATAAAGTCCATAGGAAAAGATTAACATAATATATGAAGAGATGGGAAGTATCAGACTAGGATTTGAGACTATAAACAAGAGCCAGTGGAAATCATAGAATTGAAATTTTTATTAGATGGATTAGAATCAGATTTCATACCACAGAAGAAAAAATTAGTATGATTGAAGGTAATATTGGCCTTCTCAATCTTTCCATTGCTCCAGTTCTTACCATAATTGCTACTAACTCAGGAATGCCTTAACTGACTGTCTGTTGGTTTATATTTTGTACCCTTGTGATTTGTTCTCATGACATCCTGTGCTTTTCCACCTTAGGACTTACCACAATATAGAGTATATGTGTAATTATTTTATTTGTGTAATTATTTTTGTAACCTCTATCTCTCTGCTAATCTCCAAGCTTCCCAAAGATAGGCACCAGGGTCCTTGTCTATTATGTTTATTGTTCTTTCCTTGGTGGCTAGAACTGAGAAAATACCAAACAGGAACTTTTTGAATGAATGACTGCTAGAGAGGCCTTTTTCATTCAAGGTGAGTTCGCAGATACCACACAAGGTATTGAGTGTTACATCACAATGTTTTATAAAATTCTCATGTATTCATAATAAGTAAGAAAAGGAGACTATCTATAGTCCATTTTAGCTTCTGCTCCGAACTTACTTACTCTTTCTATCACTTTGATTTTTGACATGTTTTCAAGCATACTTTCTATCAACCTCTGTTATTCTTTCTGAATCACAGTGATATAGCATCAGATAAATACAGTCTCCAAAACATATTGTAAGTTTTTATAAACTTCTTCATATTTAGACGGAATAATAATAGACCAGTACTATCTCGAGGAAATTATAATCATGCCTGTAGCTGCTTAGGTTTTCCAGTTCCTGACTTCCTTATCCTATTCTAAAACCAGGGGCTCAGGCAGACAATGAGTCAATAACAAAGCAAGTGTATCACTTCATCTGTTCAGCGCATCATCTCCAGCAGTGAAGTTAATGATGTAACCTAAGTGGTATTTAAAAATGTTACCCTCTGGTTAAATTTAAGAAATAGAAAATATTATATTTTTTCTTTACTATAATGGTTAGATGATCCTCCCCTTTCCTTTTAGATGTTTATAAACAGTTGAATTCAAATGACATATATGTTCTGGTTGGTCCCAGACAATTTTTATTTGAGGGATCCCTAATATCGGCCTTGGTACCCTAGTGCATAGAGTGGCGTTGATCATTTATCACACATTACTCTGATGGCCTTGGCTGGGCAGTGTTGTCAAGGGTATCTGTACTGAAGCTTCAGGAGTGCTTGCTTTGTCTTGATTTATATTTCCACCACTGCACTGAAGTATCTTTTTATATGAGTACAGGTGCTCAATCCAGACATTAGGAGAGTTTCAACCTCCAACATGATAAAGACAATAGATTCATAAAACCCTCAGGTATCATTTGAAGCTAGAGATGGTATTTAGAGTTTTGAAAGATAGATTACTCAGTACAACCAAGCTGTAAGTAAGCTACTTTGGGGCCATTTTTGTACTAAGCTGGAACAAATAGTTGTATCTGCTGGCCACAATGCCTGCCCATTTGCAAATAGATCCACCTAAGATAGAATGGTTGCATGGGTGGTCTCTGACCAGAGACTGACTCAACATCATTCTAAGTCGTGGGGGACACTGGTGAAACCTGCTGAAGAGTCATGCCCAATGGGCAGTTGGAACCCCAAAAGTCAAGAAAGAATTTTTCCCTTCAGAACCAGATGTTGACACTGTAATCTGGCTTCTTTTCCTCCCATTCCTATTCTCTATGGTGAATCCTCTATACCTTCAGACAACTTTCTAAATGTAAATAAACTCTGTATTGTGATTAATTCCAGGATACAAAATGCGTGTGAAAACAGTCTTCATAAATGTAAACAGCTCTCTCAGGTCTAGCTTGGACCAGCTTGATAACGCATATTAGCCTTTGAGCCTGGGCTCCGCCCCACATCACTGTCTTGCCATCAGCCTTTAATGAAACTTAACCATTCTGACTTAGTACCTTGGATTCTGGAGAAATCCAGGCAGGGCCTCTGATTTCTAATGACCGCCTGTGTTAACAGTTGATGAACTTCTCCAGCCCTCAAACCCCTGCCCAAATCTGGCTTGGTCCATGTTTTGTTCTCTAGTTGTGGCTTAATTTAGCTAATCTTCAGGGCCTTCAGCAACCTAAGAGTCTAATTTTCCTTTCCAGGAATCTCAAAATCTCTCTCTGTCTCTCATCTTCTTTCTGGCATCTAGTCTCCAATTTCTTCTATACTCAAAACGATAGGATTCTTTTGTGAATGAGAGAGAAATCTAACTTACTGGCTTAATAAAATCTAACTAGCTTAAAAAAAAAGAGGGGTGGGGGAGTTCTTTGGCCCACACAACTAAAAGGTCCAGCAAAGATTGTAATTTCACATGAGGCTATACCCAGATGTTCAAACAATGTCATCAGAGAGCATATCTTGTCATCTCTCTTTTTTTAACATCTTTATTGGAATATAATTGTTTTACAATGGTGTGTTAGTTTCTGCTGTATAACAAAGTGAATCAGTTATACATATACATATGTCCCCATATCTCTTCCCTCTTGCATCTCCCTCCCTCCCACCCTCCCTATCCCACCCCTCTAGGTGGTCACAAAGCACCGAGCTGATCTCCCTGTGCTATGCGGCTGCTTCCCACTAGCTACCTATTTTACATTTGGTAGTTTATATATGTCAATGCTACTCTCTCACTTCGTCCCAGCTTATCCTTCCCCCTCCCCATATCCTCAAGTCCATTCTCTACGTCTGCATCTTTATTCCTGTCCTGCCCCTAGGTTCTTCAGAACAATTTATTTTTTTAGATTCTATATACACGTGTTAGCATACGGTATTTGTTTTTCTCTTTCTGACTTATTTCACTCTGTATGACAGCCACTAGCCTCCACCTCACTACAAATAACTCAGTTTCATTTCTTTTTATGGCTGAGTAATATTGCATTGTATATATGTGCCACATCTACTTTATCCATTCATCTGTCAGTGGACACTTAGGTTGCTTCCATGTCTTGGCTATTGTAAACAGAGCTGCAATGAACATTGTGGTACATGACTCTTTTTGAATTATAGCTTTCTCAGGGTATATGCCC